TGAGTAAAAGCGCGCAAATTCAAACTTTTAAAATCTTTTCGCTCGTTTTCACTTTTTTCGGTTTTTTCAAGAGTTTTCTAGGTTTTTGTCAATTTTTCTTCCAGATACATCGAAAAATTTGAAAAAAAAACAGTGAAAACGAGCGAAGCAAATTTAAAAGTTTGAATTCGCGCGCTTTTACTCACCGGGCGGCCTAGAAAAAACCTCGTCCCTAAGGGCTTTCAGCGTATTTTTCGATGCGTTTTTCTCGATGAAGGAATTTTTTTTTGAATTTTTTCTTTATTTTTATGTCAATCTACATGCATTTCAGCACATTTTGATGCAATAAAAAATTTCACCGTACACCACCTTCAACTTTGAGCTCAATTATCTCGTGAAAGATATCAAAAAGTTGTCAACTGATAAAAGACTTATCATAACACCACAAACATTTTATTAGTGAACAATTTTATTGAATCTTTTCCAGGAATTGAGATAGTTGAGCTCAAAGTTGACGGTTCAGAGGAACTACAGTAATCTCATGAGACGCACACTAATGCAATGTTTAAGGGCGTCCAACACTTTTACTTGCATATTCATAACGCATCCATGTATGATATGAGAGTGATAAACGACTATATCAGAACTGGAGAAGTTGAAGTTCATTATCTGATTGAGAGAGACTACAGAAAGGATAATCACTGGCATATGGTCAATCTGGCGGTAATTTTCTATACCTGAGCCTTGATCACAATTATCTCGGTTCCTGTGAAAGATATCAATAATTTGCCGGCTGACAAAATATTGGAGATGAAAAGATGAATAATTTATCTGTTAACAGATTTTTGATATTTCTCATATGAACCGAGATATATGCGCTCAAAGTTGGAATGTCGAGGCATGTCGGCTGATCTACTCGGTCGGCTGCCGACTTCTTAACTTTAAGCGATATTATTTCGTTTCCCACGAGAGATATCAAAAATTTGTCAACTGATAAAATATTCATCATAATATAAGCTATATTTTATTAGTTTAAAGATTTTTGATTTCTTTTACAAAAAGCGAGATATTTTCACTCAAAGTGGCCATACCGAAAAACAGTTTTTTTCCAGGACTGCTTAATCTGGTCGCGCGGAGAATCCAAATGGACCATTTTCGCAGATTTGGATGAGAGGATTTACATGACAAATTATACAGGAACAATTTTGGATTATGTTCGAGAGGTTCAGAATGATACGATTGGGAGTCTGATGTTCAGGCAGCAATGGATTCTGAAAACTGAGTTGATGCCAGAGAGATACGAGGGGGATAAGCAAGTAAGGATCTGAAATTTTAGGGTTTCAATTTTGATGGCCTAACTTTCTCCAAATTCATTTTCTAGGCCATCAATTTCAAGACAAGTTAGTCTCCTATCCGGTTTCCTTATTAGCAAACGAGTGTAATTCTGGGATAAATCAGCATGATGGTCTTGGGGTGCGCGCATTTTGAGCTCAATTATCTCGGTTCCTATAAGAGATATCAAAATCTTGTCAACTGATAAAATATAGGTGATATTATTATCAATATTTAATCAGTTGACAGATTTTAAATATCTTTTGAATGAACCGAGATAATTGAGCTTAAAGTGTTCGTATAGGGTGACAGACACCAATGAGCCGCTGGATGTCCGTTTTCGCGTAGAATCGAACCAAAATTCCAACTGACATTTTCAGATCAACCAATGGATGCCAACTCATCGATGGCACAACTCAACCGGTCTCGGACCACATGGTCATACTGCAAAATGTATTGTGGACACTTCGAAAGTGTTCATAATGTTCATCCATTACGTCACACAGTTCTTCCCAGCCCCATATGGCAATAGATATGTCACAAAGAGAGTAGAAGCGGAAGAAGGGCTGATAAGGTTTGTGAACCCTTCGACAGGATATCACAAAGAAGTTTCATCAGGCACTACCGCGACCAAAGTCTAGGGTCGTGGGGACAAAAGTGGCTGAACTCGACGTTGAGATTTGGGGAGCTAAGATCAACAGACTATCCGGAGAAATTGATTGGAGAATTGACGGAGAGAGTGAAGAGAAGAGCAAAATATGTATATGATAATTTGGAATGATTCGGGTTTTTGAATATTGGGTACCTTCTACTATACTTTTGAGCTCAATTATCTCGGTTCCTAGGAGAGATGTCAAAAAGCTATCAACTGATAAATCGTTTATCATAATATCAGCAATATTTCATCAATAGACAGATTTTTGACATCTCCCAAAGGAACCGAGATATTTGAGCTCAAAGATAGGATGGGCTTCTAGTTAGAGAGAATACAGTAGCTTGAGTTCGACTCAATAAATGAATTGTGCTGTTTTTTATGTAATTTTTTAATTTTAAATTATTCAGAATTATATATTATAAATTAGTGTTTTGTGTGATAATTCGTTGTTTTTTCATTTTTTTTTTTCAGCTATTTTAAATTGTAGCCGTTATTATTCGGGAACCTTGTGTCCTGAAATTTACTTAGAAGCGCATCGTCGGTCCTGAAGCGAAAGCAGCTATTTATTTATGGTTTTTGCAAACAACTTCATGCACTTTTAATACAGTACTTCGGAATTATTTTATTTCGACCCATTTTTTGGTAGTTTTCCTACTTTATAAGAAAATTAAGCTCATTATTTATGAGAACCTGAGGGAAATAGGCTAAAACAAAATAATTCCAAAGTACTGTATTAAAGGCGCATGAAGTTATTTGTAAAAACCGTAGCCGTTTCAACTTCTGGACCGGCTATGCGCCTTTAAATTAATTTTCGGACACAACGTTTATCGGCTCCGGACAAGAATAGTAAGAAATTCGGGAAATATAAATATTTCTAGGTTACGGTAGTTGTCGTTGTGGGACCCAAACGGTATAAATTATGCCTAAAATGGGTCAACATAAAATTATTCCAAAGTACTGTATCGAAGGCGCATCCATTTTCTCAGAAATTTTCACCGTTTTCGCTTCAGGTGAAATTTCGGTCGCAATATTCATCGCCGTCGGAGCTTTTGAACAACGGTATAAATATTGAAGGCGCACAGAAAGTTACCTTGTGGGTCTCGACAGGAATTACTTTGTCTGCTTTTTCGAAATCTTTTCGTCAATTTTATACCAATTTTCCGCGCTTTTCGGATGTGAAATTTCGAAATTTTTGAAACTCAGAATTGTGGAAAATTCCGAAAAAGCTATTCCGAAAATTCCCGAATACTGAAAATCGCTGAAAAATCATGAAAAATAGTAGAAAAAAAAAGTATTTTTTTATTATATTTTTAATGACATTAAATATTATACATATTTTTAAAAATTCAAAGGTGCGAAAATTGGTGCGAAAAATTCTTCTCCAAGCGACTCCTCTGTTGACTCGTAATATCCGCCGACACCCGTTGAATCGTTTTCGGATCGAACAGCTTCTTCTGAAGACGACTTCTCACTGACGTCTCCTCCTCGTGCTTTCGTTTTCTCTTCGTTTTCGATTCATACTCCTTTACAATTTTCCTACTGAATTCCTCCGCCTCTTTCAGTCGTTTCCTCTCCTTCCGATCGATTTCTTTCAGTCTATCCTCATCCTTTACTGGTTTCCCATTGGCATCTCGATCTACTAAAGGTCCGTGGAGCGGGCATTTAAACATATCTTTCCGTTTACACAACGCACCACTGGGCAGTTTCGCCAGACACTCCCTATCAATTTTCGGTGCTTCTCCAACAAAGGTGAACTGTCTCTGTGTGTAAACTGTGTCGTGGACCGTTCCAGCTACAGTACTCTCGTCTGCAGATCTCCAGAATCGATGACAATCCGCGTTGTTTTTGGGGACTTCCACATCTTTTCGCTCTTCTCCCCAGTACTTTAAATCCAACCCGAATGAGACGAATTTCACTTTTGGCTCTTCTTTCTTCGGGTTCGCTAACTTCTTCTCGGGCTCTTTCACGTCTTCTTTCACGTCTTCCGACGCTTCATTCGCGTATTGCACCATCAGAATGTCATCAATCGATATTTCGACGTCAATGAAATCATCGTCGAATTTCTTCGCTTTTTGCACTGGCTTTTTCTTGGTTTTTATCCGAATTTCATCGGCTTTCAGAACCAATTTTTTGATGACATCGCGATAATCGATAATTGATTGAGCTAGCGATTCGCCAGCTCCTTTCAAAGGGAGTAGGCCTTTAGCGAGTCTGAAATTTTGGAATTTTAAGTATGATGGTGCAAGAAATCGGGAGGTCCCACCACGAAAACTATCGTAACTTAAAAAAAAATTATTTTTGGCGCCGATGAACCTTGTAGCCGAAAATTAATTTAAAGGCGCATCGCCGGTCCTGAAGCAAAAACAGCTATTTATGGTTTTTGCAAATAACTTCATGCGCCTTTAATACAGTACTTTCGAATTATTTATTTCGGCCCATTTCTAGGCAGTTTTCCTACTTTATAAGGAAATTATGTAGTTATTCGTAAAACCGTAGCCGTTTCCTCTTCAGGACCGGCTATGTGCCTTTAAATTAATTTTCGGACACAATGTTTATCGGCGCCGGACAGTAATAATAAGAAATTCGGAAAATATAAATATTTTTAGGTTACGGTAGTTGTCGTTGTGGGACCCAAACAGTATAAATTCTCACTTTCGCATTGTCTGCACCCTATGAATCAGAACTGTCTTCGCACCGAGGAATGCTTCGACAATGGCGTCGTTATCGGCATTCACTTTGATTAATGGCGATAAATCTTCTATAACAAGCTCGAAAGACTTAGAAGACGTCGATGGAATATCCATTGGGATATCCACGTCATCAGAATTCGTGAATGACGGAACCAACATCTCCATTGTAGTCTCCAATTCCATTTTTAATCGTTCGACGTCTTCTTTTATTTCCTCGAATTTCGATTTGTACAACGAGAGGGTCTGTAAAACGGAAGTAGCAAGATGTGGTGGAGGGTCCCACAACGAAAACTACCGTAACCTAAAGCATAGTTAGGTTACTGTAAATTCGTTGTGGGGCCTTTTCTTTCACTAACTCTCTCCACTATCATTCTCCTTCTCTCATCCAAAAACTCTCTCCGCTTTCTTTCCTCCTCAATCTTCTTCTCCCCATTCTCGTAGTCCACAAATTTGGTTTTCCGCAGTGTCACCGCCAAACACTTCATTCTGGCGTCATTTTTCGCATACATCTTCTCCCAATTTTTAATGAAAGCTAGTGATTTTGATTTCAGCTCGTTTCCTTCGCTCTTCGAACCGGGAAGTGGATTTCGAATAGGATCGGTTTCCAGCATAATTTCTATGAATTCCTAGAAATTTTTAGTGTTTTTAGGCGACATTTTTTCTAAATAACCTTTGGATCGTTCAGAATTTGGTCTCTAAACAAACTTGAATTGCAGAAATATTCATTGAACAATTGCAACACAAATTGCCGATCAGCACACCCGGATCGCTGAAAAATTCCGAAAAATAATAGCCAAATATTTTCTTTCCTTACACTAGCAGTCTCTAACAGCACTTTACACAAAACTTCTGTACATTCCTCATCGCGTTTTTCAATTTCCGCCTTTAAATTTTGATAAGGGACCGACTCGAAGTCTAGCTTCCCATCGTCTGTTAACTGCAAATTGTGGTTTTTTTGTCATTATTATTATTGCAGAATTTCGAAACTTACTTCTTGCAAAATTCTATTCAGATTCTTTCGAATTCCGGACCTATACACATCTTCTTGCATTTGAATTTTTTCTGAAAAAAATCCGTATTTTTCACAGAAATCGGCAAGTTTGAGATTTAAATAAGTCAGTATTTTTCAATGAATCCTGCTTGAATCATGCAAATATTGAACTTTTAAGGACAAAAAAAAACGAATAAATACAAGCATGTTTATAATGGGGACGGGGAGTGAAAAACAAGTTTTTGTGCACAAATTCATGTGATTTGCTGTGCGTTGATAAATATTTTCTCTATTTTTATCTCCTTTTTTCAGTTTTTATGTCAGAACCAAGTTTTTTTTTCGAGAAAAATCGATTGCAAGCACTTGGGTTCAAGCGAGGGGGTCAGAAAGAGCGCCCCAGTAAATTTAGGAAAAATTCTAAATTCGCTGCCGAATTTCGTTG